ATAGATATAGGCCTATTCAGATGCTCTGTTTTTTTAAAAATCTATTTTTATTGATTTTAGAGAAGAAGGGGTCGGGGAGAGATAGAAACATCAATGATGAGAGAGAATCATTGATCAGCTGCTTTCTGCATGCCCCTACTGGGGACCGAGCATGTGCCCATGGAAATCAAACCGTGATCTCATGATTCATAGGTTGATGCTCAACCACTGAGACACACTGGCTGGGCAGTTTTTCCTTTCTTTATGTAGACCCAAGTTCTAATTTTTTTTTAAAGAACTGCCACTGGCTCATAGAGGGAAGCAGGGAGCAGGAGTTAGGTCACTCATGGAGGGAAGAGAAAATGTTCTGGAAAGATTCATTGCTTTCTTCTTCTTATGTAAGGTGTGGTTTCCCCAAAGAAACAAGATGCTAAATAAAAGTTAGGGTCTCAAACCACAAGCCTACTTTAACCCACGCTGTTGCTGACTATATTCAATTTAATTTTGTTCACATCAACAAGGCAGAGTTTTCTTTTCATGCCAGAAGGAGGAAGTGGAAGCGAGTAGGAAGTGGAAGCGAGTAGGCTTTGAGGATGACCCAAATGGTGCAGTTTATAGTTTTCACTGAGCATGGAAGAGTGTGCGTGTGTGTGTGTGTGTGTGTAGGGGGGTGGGAAGGGTGGGAGGGAGGATGGGGTGGAAAGATGAAAAAAATGTGGCCCCTGCCCTCAAAGAGCTGTAGTTGGAAAGGCAGATACGTACTCAACTAATATGTGCAATGATGGTGGAGGTGTCATCTGACCCCAGGGTGACAGAAGTATTCAGTCTGAGTGGGAAAAGCTAAAAAATTGTGGAAGATGTGGCAGCTTCCACTTGAAGGATGTTAGGGCATTTAGCAGCAGGGGGTAAAGACAGTATGCATTTGAGGCAGAGAACATGGTTGGGCAAAGGTTCAGGATGGTCAGTTGCAGGGCACAGTCATGGAAGAGCTGAGAAGCTGCTGCAGAGGGGGGGGGCAGGTGGTCTTTTTGAGTAGGTGTGATGGTCTCATCACTTACATAGAAGGTAATTGTTCATATTTTCATGTTGAATTACAGGCAGGTGATTTTCAAAAGCCTAATTCTTCTAAACAAATGTGGTCTTGCCTCAGACTGAGAACTACCTGTCTCACATACAATGGTTCATTACCATGAAGAATAAGAAAGTGATTAACTACAAAAATGTCATTATATTTAACTTTCTAGGGATGGATTTGTTAAAGAATAGCAAAAAGATGTTTAATAGCTTGGTATCTGTTTTGTAACTGTATTATTCGGAGTAAAGCATGCAAAGGCGTGTGCTGTCACTGGGGACACTGAGGTTGCAGGCTCTCACGTGGGGCCGGGAGGAGGAATAAAGGAAAAAGTAAAGAAAGAATCCCTAACAAGGGTCAGGTCCAGGAATAACTTGCTAGACTATGGAGATTAATGTCGGTCCCTCCTATTTGTGTATCTGGACAGAATCATGTATAAACTTCTTTCTTTTGGGTGTCCATGGAGTGAGGACTCTGTGGTGGGCAGTGATAAATCAAGTAAGTGATCTCTGATTTAATTGTGTTTATGTGATTTTATATTATCTGGACAAGAGGCTGAGTGGAATTCAGTCCTTTATTGAGATATTTGGTTGAGGCAAGCATTTGTCCACATCTCCATCTTCAGTTTAATTTTTCCAGTGAGGAACAGAAACATAGAAAACTCATGGGTAGAGTCTATTGAATTCCTGAAATTCTAGTTCATTTGTAAGTCACTAATAGATAACAATTTACATACATATTAAGTATAAAATATATGGTGAGATACTTTAAGAAAATGCTTTTGAAATATTACAAAGTATTATTATCTATTTTTATTTTCATTTTGTTTATTCAACCTTAAGCTCTTGAAGATGGACACCACTGTAATCTGATTTTGAGATACAAATTGGTGATATCTTGACTGGGGAAAGGTCTCATCTTATACTTACTCTTAAAAATACTGGCTCTGGTCCCAATGGGGGACTCTTTTGAAGAAGCATAATTTTGTTTCTCACCCTACATCTTGCATCTACACGAGTGAAGAGGAAACCAACAATATTGAGTGTTTTATCCATTTACACATTTCTGCCCCCTCATTCTCATCTATAAAGATATAGCTTTTTCAATTGTAAATTTTTACCTCTGTAGGCAAATAACAAATAATGTAGCTGTGTTACCAAACAACAGAAAAAAAAAACCCCACATGAAACCATCCATAAAACACGGTATCTGACTAGCAATAAGGTATGGCATGATAAATGATGGTACATCACTAAATAGCATATTACACAATTGTTAAATGATAATTAGAGACACTGCATAAAAACATGAAAACATACTTAGGATATAATGAAAATATTAAAGAAAAACACATGATTATAATAGGTAGGCCTGGAAGATAATATGCTAAAATGGAAATACTATTAGGATAGTGGGACTATGGATTTTCAAAAATATTTTCTTCAATGTTATAAAAGAATAGTAACAGTGAGTTCACCAAATAAATGATGCTGTGGTGTAGAGGGGAGATATTAATAAACAATTAGAGGTTGGATATTATCAAAATGGAAAATACATTTAAAAGAATAAATATTTCTTCCCACATTTGCCAGATCAATGGGTATTAAGATCCATAGAATTGAAACCATTTTCAAAGGAACTGGTTAGTAGGGTTTGGAAGAGAGCCTGAACTGAACTCTATCTGAATTTTGTTTACCATGGTAATTGCAATAGAGACTAAGTCTTGAAACAATTGTCTAAATATGCTCCAGCTTGGGTATCTTGGCTGAATTTACACTTTGGAATCAAGACACAGTTTCACCTCCTTCAACATATCATTTTCTTTCAAAATGCATCCGAATTATCTAGAGGTATTGTGATTTTAGGAAACTATTTTCCCTCCGTGCCAAATCCAAAGTAAATTACATTTAGTGTAAGGGTATGTGTTATATTACTTAGGGATCCAATATTTAAAAATTTCTCCTCAAAAATATTTTACTCTGAATATCTTCATTTTATTCCCAGAAATGTATTTTGCTGAATAAAAATATATTTGGTAATAAAACAAATCTGCTTTCACACATTTACAAAATTCTTTTTAGTAGTAGCAAGAATTCAATCCATGTCACATATTAGTAATCATGAATTGCATAACTTTGGCCTGTATTTTGCTGTAACTCATTTCATGGCAATATATAAAGTGTCTTTGCCACAACGCCATAGAATATTCAACCTGGGAATGAACTAAGAGGTAACCTAGCGTCAGTCAGTCCCACTCCTTCCTTCTCAGGGAACTGAGGTGTGAGAAGATAAAATTTGCCCAGGATCACCGATCTCATTTGCTGACATTTAAACCCTACCAAAAAACAATTACATACTTTTGATGTTGCATTTGACTAGAAAATTGTGATTTTTTTAAGGGCATGATGTTTAAAAACAAGAATAATTGCCATACTTAGAGAATTACAGAGTTGGACCTGAAATACACAAAAGAGATATACCCAAACTTTTTGTCCTCAATTCCCCTTTTGGCAAAAAGTGCCTGAAACTATCTGACATTTAAAAAGAAATCATCCCCTAAGCCCTGAAAAAATAAAAATAAAAAAATAAAAAAAATAAAAAGAAATCATCATTCCTTAAAGGGTGCAAAATTATTCTGATCTTCAAGATTAAATATACCACCATTTCTATATATAACTCATATTTCTCTTCAACTGGATCAGATACTATTCTGGCTGATTGACCTCTTGTCTATTACAGTTGATCAAATGAAAGAGGAAATACTTTTTAGGGCCCCATTGTGATTTTTTCCCTCAGCAGCAAAAGATTAAACATGAAATAAAGCAGACCTTTGCCATGTAATGTTTACTGATCAGATGAACTTAATAAAAACTGGGCTTTGGTTGATCCTAGTAGATTAACTCTCATTTCATTGGCACAGTCTTTGGGAATGCTGAACAAAAGTACAAATAATGACATTTCTGACATTTCCAGAAGTTTAATCATTGCATGTCATATAAATTCTGCATAAAGTTCAAGACTAAGGTATTGACTTCACAGTCTTTAGATTTGAAAAGGCATATAAGAATAGTAATCACCAGTACATGTTTTCCCAAAATGTTAAAGACACTTGTATACATATGCAGAATCCATTTTAACTGGATGAAAACAATTTCTGATCTATGAAAATATTACATTAAGTCATTTTGCACCTGATGAGGAAATTATACATGAATGGTAGTAAATGTTAGAAAACACTTCAGATAAAGACCAGTAAGTCACTTTAAGTGAAGACTTTAATAAGTAACACAGCCATCTAAAAATGTTAGTTTTTCACATAGCCGGTCACATTTACTTTACTTTATTTGAAATTCCTGATCTTGTCAGAAGATATCATAAAACTCAATGACATAATTCAACTGTCTTTAACTCTCCTTTCTCCAGAAACCATCCTACCTAAGGAGGGATGCAGCTTTTCTGTCCTGATTTTTTCTTCTTTTAACAAATACTAAGTATGAACGGCTTTCAATAGATAATTATTTCTTATAACGAAGCATTGTTTTTTTCTTCTTTCAATATTTTTCAGACCTAAAGCAACTCCGGGTCCCTATGAATAGCCGTTTTTTTTGCAGCCCACTCAAGATTTGCCTTGCTTTCAGCAGGTACTGAGTGGCACTTGTTGGGTTATTTACAAAACATCCAACACAGTTTAAATTGTTAAAAAGTAACTGGAACTGCTTCCTCTCCTACCCATTGCCTCTTCCAGTGTCCTTAACACTCATCACCCCTCCCTAAAATGTGTCCCCAACATGCCTATTTACATGGCTCTCAGGCACCAGCCGTTTGCACACCCATCACATACCAGGTCAATCTCTAACAGTGTGAAGGCTGTTGGAGCGGGCAGTTTCCTTCCATCGGGAGCTGAGTGTAGTCATGTTCCTATCAGCACAGCGACCCTTGTATGCAAAGCTTAGACTATCGTCTCGTGGTCCCACCTGCCTTGGCTCTGATTGATGTAACAACAGTATCTGTCATAGGGACTGTTCTGCTTGTAGGAGCAAACGATGATACTGTCCTGGGGCACAAAGAAGATGCTGTCCTCTGGCTCGGGGCACTGTGACCTGTCCCAGGCTGAGCACTTGGCATCCAAGGCACTGTAGGTGAGGGAACTGCCGGAGGGACAGTAGCCGTCCAGGTATCTGGAAGTCTCCTCCTGCTGCCCGCTCCGGACCAGGCTCTGGCATTCTCCTTCTTCCGTGGGGGTGGGAGTAGTGATAGAGCTGGCCACAGGCACCTCGGCCTGCCCCTGGGAGGGCAGCTTCCCCCGGAGGCCTGCCTTCTTAGCCAGCTCATCGGAGCTTCCCTTGCCTGACTCCAGGTCCGAAGGGGTCCTCAGCAGCTCCACCACCTCCTTGTCCTTGGGTTTCCGGAAGCAGGGCAACTTTCGGACCCAGAGCAGCTCATTTTCGGGCCACTTGGTGCACCCCTCAGTTTTCCTGGCCAGGGCAATGGCCGCGATGCCTGGCAGGCAGATGGCTGGTCCGATGGCCAGGAGGGGTATGTTTCCCAGAGTCTCTCCTTTCATCCCAGAGACAGTGAACATGAAGCCAAAGACCAGGAAGACACTGACCAGGGCCACCACCAGCCCAGTCCTCGGGTTAATGTCATCAGGCCGCATCTTTCACTCATCCAGGTTGGGGCTTCTTGCTGGCCAGGGAGCAGCTCCGCTGTCTTCCGTCACAGAGGAAATCACAGTGGGTTAAAAGAAATCCCCAAGTTCACTTCCCACCCACCAACTCCGTCTCTTTTACTCTTGGTCTCTCTCCACTTGTCTGACAATCTTGGTCTCTGCCTCTCTTTATCTCTTGCCCTGTTTCTGTTGCTCTTTGCCCGCCTGTCTGTCTGTCTGTCTGTCTGTGTCTTTACTATTTAACCTCAGTCTTTCATATAAGCGTCCACCGGCGGGGGTCACTGAGGTACCTGAGGTTTCCTCCTGTCTCCAGTCTCCTGGGAGCAGGGAAAGAAGCCAGTCTGAGTCTCCTTAGGAACCTCCACAGCAGCTGGTCCCTCGACTCTCTCCCTTGTTCCTGGGAGGAAAGCCTGGCTTTTCCTCCTGACAACCAGGTAGTGGGACGTGGGAGCCTGTCTTTCCCAACAGTGCGGGTCGCGGTCCCCCAGCTCTGGAAGCTACCGGCGGCGGTGCTGGCTCTGCGCGCGGACTTCCAGGCGTGGGAGGGAGGGAGGGAGCGGGGAGGACTTAGTGTGGGAAAGAGGGAAAGCGAGCGCGAGCCTGTCCGCGTTACATCACTTTCAGAGCAGGCTCAGAAACAAAAAGGACGTGTGGGCGCGCGGGGGGCAGACCCAGGAGCAGCGGAAGAGGCTGCCCAGGGTCCAGTCGGATCCTCAGAGCAGCCGGGATTCGTCCCTCCGCTGCCCAGGAGGGCTGAGCAGGGAGGCTGGACTCACTTCAGTGCGGGGGAGGGCCAGGGGGCGAGGCTGCTGCTGATCGGGGGACGGAAACTCGGCTCTATTCGCCCACCGGGCAGCCTGGGCTCCGAGGACCAGAGCTGCCTGCTGGAGATGTCTTTCGGCACCTGGCTGGACCCCTCTTTAGTTACAAATCGGGATGATTCGACCCGACTGACGGTGGCTCCTAGGATTTAGCCCAACCGCTCCTCTCTCAACCTCAAGGCTAGGTGCTCGGAGGCGGCACACCTCCAGGTGCCCTGCTGCTCTCGGTCCAGGCGCTGGCGGCAGCGAGCGGTGCTCAACAGCGCTCCCGCCGCGGAGCGGGCTGCAGACCTGGACGGGCGCACAGGACCGGCGTCCAAGCCGAGTTCATGGTGAGGGGTGGGTGCCAGGCTTTGCTCAGCCCTGGGCGGAGTCACCAGAGACTCCCCCCAGGTCTTCCAGTTTCGGACTCTGGAGGGGGTGGCCTTGGAGTCCGGATCCAGCCAGATCTGCTGGGTCAAGGGAAGAGGGCTCTCGCTGTCGGATCCCCGTCCTTACACGTCGCACCCAAGACCCTGATAAAAGGAGAAGGGGGAACCTCGACTGGACGGGACGGGCTGACCAGCCCTGCTACAGTTCCAGCTTTGGGTGGTTCTCTCCTGCCTTGCTGAAGCTGGTGTGCAGAACCAGTCTCCCTCCCACGGCAGCGGGTGATGGATTCTCTGGCCCCAGGGGCAAGACTGACTTTGGCCGTGGTTCTTTAACAGGATGCCCATTTGGGGTAGATGGGGAATAGTGAGGGACAGAACAGGGTATGGGGTACATTCTTTAATACAAGGCACTGCCTTGGTGGGAAGAACTTTGACATCCAGGCCCTCCCCACCTTCTTTGTATGTGCTTGGGAAAATGACTTGATTGGTCTGAGAACCAGTTGACTCGTCTGTAAAAGGATAATATTACTACCAAATATGTGAGGAAGCAGTCTGAGGACTAAATGAATGTGGCGTTCCTAGCACAATGCTTGTTACGTGGTCCTTTTCATAAAATGGTTGAAATAGATATTTGCATACTATGCCACAATCAATGTAGGCACAAGCCAAAGCATACATCTTGCCAATGTCCAGATTCTCACTCAGGACAGTAGTACTTCCTGCCCTTCAGACTGGTAAGATCTCCCAGGATCCTTTCAATAATGCCCCCTTGTATGAAGTTAGCACGAGTGGTTTTTCTTCTTTGAAATCCAAAGAGTCTCTGGTATGATAGGCATTTCTCTGAAAGTGATGCCTCCAAATTAGGCCTCAATTGACTTATGCTTTTATTGTCAATTTAGAAGAGATGATGGAGGTGGGCATAGGGAAGTTTTACATTAATTTTTATTGAAGTATCATATAGAGAAATGAGCACAAATCATGAGTATACATTTGAATGAATTTTCACAAAATGAACATGTCCATTCAACCAGCACCCACATCAGGAAGGAGACATTTTAGCAAACCCTCCACCCCCATACCTGTATGTCACTCCTCTCTCCATCCCCCAACAGATACCATTATCTTGACTTTTAGCAGCATGGTTTACTTCTGCCTGTTATTTGACTTTATGTAAATGAAAAAAGAGTGGAACTTTCCATTCCCCTTTCCTGGTACCTCACACTTGTACCTGACACATAACTCTCTGACACGTAACTCCCTCTGAAATTCATCAATTTGTTGGATTCTCTCTTTTTTTTTTAAGTGGAGTTATTTTTTTATTGTGGCAAAATATACATAACATAAAAGTTACCATTTTAACGATTTTAAGTGTACAGTTTAGTGGCATTAAGTACATTCGCATTGTTGTGCAACCATCATCACTATCTATGGCGGTACATTCTCTCTTCCCGTGACCAGCGCCGAAAGGGAGAATGCGGGGGTTCAAGAAATCTTGAGTAGAACCCGATGAGGGTTAAGGAAGAATGAAAACGAGACTGAGACAGAAATAGAGGGAGAAGCTGGGCCTGGGTGTGGCGTCTGCCTCTGATAGATGAACAGAGCCCCCGACACCGGAAGTTAGTTTAATATATACTCGAAGTAATAGGAAGTTACATCACATCTGGGTGGGCCTTGAGTTCCTGGCGACATAATGTGATCTACCCCCTAGCACCTGGCCTGGAAAAGTCAGACTGAGTGGCACCTCTTGGCTAGGACCGCCTCCAGGGCGTGGCTTTGCCTGCACCCTGGATTCAGCCAACATATTTAAAAATGCCCGAGGTGCTTGCCAGTGGCCCCCCACAACTATCCATCTCTAGAACTTTTTCATCTTCCCAAATTGAGACTCTGTCCCAATTAAGCAATAACTCTCTATTCCCCACTTGCCCAGCCCTGGCAACCACTATTCTACTTGCTGTCTCTATGAATTTGACTATTTGAGGTACCTCATATAAGTGGAATTGTAGAACATTTGTTCTTTTGCATTAGATTAATTTCACTTGGTGTAATGTCTTCAAACATATATCAGAATTTCATTGCTTTTTAATGCTGAATGACATTCCATTGTGTATGTATGTGTATATATATACACATCACATTTTGTTTATCCATTTCTCTGTTGATGGACACTTGGGTTCCTTCCACCTTTTGATTATTGGGAAAAATGATGCTATGAACATGTAAAATGAGGATAATAACATTTAATTCCCAGGTATTATGAGGATTAGATACCATGTTAAATAGTCAATATATCTGAAGCTCCTAGGAGAGTGCTCACCAGTCGTGTGTCCTAATGTCAGCATCTACTTTGATCCTGGTGAGTGCCTCTTGCAGAATAGCTACTGTTCACTGAGTGCTTTTGATGAGCTGGGCTCTGTGCTAAGCACTTCACATATATTATCTCATTTAATCTTTATAACAACCCCGCAAAGAAGGAAACTGAGGCATGGAGAGATTCAGTAACTTGTACAAGGTCATGCAATGAATAAGTTGGATGTCAGAGTTCAACTTCTTAATTTATTAGGTTATAGTTTTGCCTTCCCTTCCTCCCCTATAACTTCCCATGGCCTTACAGTTAACTTCCTCCAATTATAACTTTAAATCAGAGAAGGAACATTTGTAGATGACCTGCAAAAGATATCTACAGTGCCAAATTCTTGGTATCTTGTGATTTGAACTAGAGAGACTGCAAGACACCTCAATTCATCACTCTCTGCCCCTTCTGTCCCTTTCCCTCTCTAACTGACAGTTCCCATTTGAGCAGCAAAATCAAGTACTTGGCAATACTATTCATGTCCAAGAACCAAGTCAGTGGTTTTGATTTCATTTTTATCAGGGTCTATTCTGAAAAGCCTGGGATACCTTGTGCTCCAGAAATTAACTTCTGGTAGCCACAGTGAAAAGCACTGGAATGACAGAGTGAAGCCCATCAGAGGAAGTGCAGAGATTACTGAGATCCCACATTTTGTGAGAGAGGTGTCATTTTCATTTTTTACTCCATAAGGTTTTAATGATTCTGAAAGCAATGTGTTTAATATAGAAAAGCTTGAAAGCATAAAAAATATAATAAGAAAATGTACATCAGTCATAGTTCTACTGTTATGCTGAGACAACCACTGTGACACAGGTTTACCTCCAGATCTTTCCAACTGTTCTGATTTCTTTTCCTTGCTTTTCTACACAGCTAGAACCTTCAGTACAATGTTGAATAGATGCTGTGATTTCAGGCATTCTTATCTCATTCCCATCTCAATAGGAATTCATTCAGCAGTTCACACATAGAATATTTGCTATAGTTGTTTTTGGCAGATAACTTTTTTAGATTAATAGACTATTCTTATTTTGCAAAGAGTGTTCTTGTCATAAAATAATGTTGAATTTTGTCAAATGCTTTTTTTGTGTGTATCTATTGAGATGCTCATATATTTTTTCCCAATTCGTTACTGTGGTGTGTTATTTTAATTTTCTAATGACAAATCAATTTTATACTCTTGAATTAAATCTAACCTGCTGGATTCCATTGGCTAATTATTTGTTTAACTAGTTTGCATATGTGTTCATGAATGATATTAGCCTGAATGTTTTTTCTTCCATTGTTCTTCTCAGGTTTCAGAATTATGGTTATACAAGACTTATACATTCTGAAAAACTTTGGGTATGATGGTATCACTACTGGCTCTACTGAAAGTTCAGTAGAATTTGCCAGTGAAGCTAATTTATCTGGGATTTCAGAGTGAGAGATTTTTTACTTCTGATTTAA